GATTTAATGAACTATTTTGACATCGCCTTTGTCTTAATACCGACGGCAATTTCGATAAGTGCATCATATTATGAAACATGAAGTTCGCACTTTATCTTACGGTTTGTTTACATTAATATTACAACCACTTTCAAATATTCATGAGTAATACAAACACAATTTGAGTGTAAGTTGTACACAATTGTAGTGTTAAAAATAGAACACATCGAAAGTATTATAAAATAATTTAAGATATTCAGTTTACTTATGTTGTTATTACTACATTTATCTTTGTAAGTGTTATTTTATTATATTATTTAATATAATTATACATTAACACAAATACGCAGCGGAGAGCTATTAAATGTTAAGCTCGAATTTTATACCCTACCTCTAAAAGACCCAACGTAACAAATTAGTGGTTTAAACGATTATTGCTAATGACTTAACTATTTTAAATACTTAACACTAACAAAAGCCGTAAAAGTACGTGCATTTATCAAAGTTTAATCTGCAACATCAAATAGAGGAAACATTTCTAAAAATGAGGACTCACATCGTTTCCCAGAGTGATGAGTGTTCGCCGAAATCAGATACCGCAGTTTGTTTGCTAAGTTAGCACGAATGGACGTCAGTGAATGTGTTCCGTGAACAAAGGGAAAAACGGGACCCTATTACTAAGACTCGGCTGTCTGTCTGTCTGTCTATCCGTCTGACACCAGGCTGGATCTCATGGACGGTTATTTTTAGAGAGTTGAAATTTTTACAGGTTATGTATTTCTGTTGCCGCTATAACAACAAATACTAAAACACAGCATAAATATATTTGAGTCGGGCTCCCATATGACCGACATGATTTTTTTGGGTTTTGCCTAGATAAATGGTACGGAACACTTCATGCGCGAGTCCAACTCACACTTGGTCGATTTTTAATTACGTGCTTATCGTGGCGCTAATGTAGTCCAATAGTAATCCACCAATAGTAATCCACCTAGTGCTAATGTAGTAATAATAATACTTGGATGGTCGATATAAATTAGTAGAGAATGAACCACATCTCCAGCTGGCAACAAATGCCATGAAAACGTATAAATTTTGTGATTATGATGTTAGGTATAACTGGTTGTTAATTTTAAGTGCTGACACTGACTGCTTCTATAGCACCTTGGTGAGCCAGATAGTTCGAAAAAAGTATAATTTCAATAAGTACTTATGTATTTACACATATAAATAGATAAATATTTAAAAATCTAACTGGTAGAAGCGCAAAAATGACATCTAAAGATTATTATTCTACTACTTAGCTATTCTAGCTTACAATAAGCCTAAGGAAGTGGGAACAAGGACTTGGTATTGCCTACATGTGTTGTTAGCGACAAGGTGTTACTTTTCTGAAGAACTTGCAGCCTAGGGGGAACACTGTCGGGTTTTAATGACTGTGGAAGGACATAGTTCGTCCTTGCTACTACGAGGCTGGATTTGCATTGGCGTTTTCCCCTCGTAAAAAATTAAAGAAGCAAAAGATAACGTTAAATAGGATAGTTTGTTATGAGATTTTAATGAATTTTAGAAGTTTCAGTAGAGTCCTAGAACCAATTGGTGTATACAACAAATGTACTAATGAAACTCTATAGAAAGCATTCCTAATTGTGTCAAGCTAGGACAACAATAAAAAGTAGATAGGGAAGTTAACACAGAACGCTTACTCTAATTGATATCGACCAGCAATTCATCTTAATAGTGGTTCTCAACGATAAACGTATTACTGAGGACCCTTTGTTATCAGGAAAAACTAAGCACATTTGGCGGGGCACGGCACCCGGCCATAAATAAATTCACCCATTTTGTATCCGACTGAAAACTATTCAATAATTTTTAAGAACTTAGGTTACTTATATTTAGTTGCAGAGATTTGAGAGACTCTTAATTTATCTTTCTTATCTTTTTCCCCGTATTTAATTAATTATGTTTGACAAATGAGTCAGTCAGTCAATTTAATGTGTGACATACGATAGATGGGGTAAAGAAATACCGAAGTACAATCACTTGTTTAGCAAGTTTCTACAGTAAATTTTCTAAAAAGTATATGTGTATATTATAACAATATTTAAGACAAAGCTATTCACATACGCAATCTAAAACTAGAGATTTATTACCATATTTTCTTAAAACCGAGAAGTTTTTTGGGTGCATTGTAGAGAAATAATAGTAGATACTTATTTCTTCTTTATACTTAAGATCGAAATGACAACCTTAACTTTTTGCTTGTCTTATTTGTAACAAAGCTAATATACAACATAAAAATGGCAGTACACCTATCCTATTCTCTGTATCTTTATCAGTCCATAATGTTGAAGAATTATACGGAGATACATCAATCTCACCACTCCCATTATTTATTCTTCAATTGAAACAATCTGAATTGTTATTTTAGTAGTAACAACCTAAACATATCCCACTGCTGGACAACGGTGTCCTCTGTACAGAGGGTATCAGGACATAGTCAAGCCCACGGCCCCACTGCGGATTGGCGGACTTCACATATCTTCGAAATATATATTTTTTGATTATTATTTCGAAAATATGCAGGTTTCCTCACGATCATACTAGCTGGTACTAATTTTCGTAACTATGGAAATCGCCAATTCATAACCCATGAGGAAATAACTGAAAAACTTAGTAGAGTTCATAAAGATGATTGATAAAACTTGCAGTTGTGATAGTTAGTTTGAACTTGCAGTTAGATAGTTAATTTGTGCTAACTCCAAATTGTGTTTTGATTGTTTTTTTTTTTTTTTTTACAAATCTGCTTAAATGTTTTCACAAGGCAAGCAACATAGGTTGAACTTATTTAATAATTGAGAAATTGGCCTCATTCGGCTATGCAAATACGACAATTAGGATAGTTTACGCTTAAAAAGATATTATTTAAAGAAAAAAAAAAACGCTTATCAGTTAACGTATTGAGTAAAATTAATTTTGTCGAGCAATTTAAACGCTTTCGACGAACACCGGTAACAATTTGACCATTAATAATGGTCTGGCGCAGCCAGCGCGAACAATTAGTTATCGTTTGATATTGGTAATTGCATTTTATTATGTTTTACTTAATTTATATAAATCACCAAGTATCAGTTTATAGAAAACCAGCTCCTTTGTGGATTTCTACCTGATTTTATTAACCGTTGTATTTAAGGAAAATGGAAGTTGTCAATATTAAAAGTTTAATTTATGTAATCGAAATTTTATATCATTTGCTGCGCGTATCACGGAAAAATTAATTACTGGATAGATTGTAATAAAATCTTTTCGGTGTCATTTCTTAGACACTAGGCACTTATCTAAAATAATCTGATATCTTCTATTCAAGTCAAGTTATTTGTCTACGTCTTTTTATCGTGTTGACTCAGGACCCAGTAGGGATAATAGGAATCAGAATCTGGTATAAATTTCAACTTGTTAGATGCACCCATTCCTGAGAGAATCGGTGTTGACACACAGATAGGCAGACGAACAAGAGAGCGATTAAGGGTTCTTTTTTTTACCTTTTAATGTACAGAACCCTAAAATATAAATGGAAATACTTTTCTCTTTTTCTACATATTTTAATGGAAATACTTTTAAGTTGTAATGTAATTAATAAAACACATCTTAAGAACCTTTTCTCATGCTTAAGGAAGAAAACAACTAAAAAATAAAACCTAAAAGACGACAGTTATTTAAATAAAAAAAAAATCTATTTTATTGAAATTCTGGACAGGTTTTATGCTGCTATTTGCAGCATTAATTTTCTCACCACTCACACTTCACCGTACATAGAAATTTGTTATAATTACGTATCACACTTGTTAATATCTAATCTGGCAAGTCTTGTGATTGAAATATATTTGTTTGATCTGTATGCATTGCATCATAAGCTCCATTTATCTCAGAACCTACATATCAGGCAATAAGTTATATTGACAAGCAATTGATCCAACTTTCTCGTAGACGTATTGAGTTCTATGTCCCTTGATTCTCTAGCAATATTGTGATGTATTTCTATGGCTGGAAACATTTCTTAAATATTTTTTATTTTAGAATCGAACATTTATCTTCTTACTTCACAGCCATTGCTATTTTCTGTTTAAACTTTAAAATTTTAATTAAAATAAATGTTATATTTTTATATTACAATTATTTTATATGTTTTATGCTCGCCGCAACGAACTTATGTGATTGATTTGGATTTTTTCAAATTATCCTTTTTGTTTCGACTAATAAATTTTTTGACTCAGAATCTGAGAAGATTCTTTCACCGAAAACGGGATGCCGAGGATTTCAGTACTGGCGGGGTCAAAATGGGTGTATAATTCCGTGGGCCTGAAGACATGTAACCCAGTTGGCACAAGACCAACATAAACTTTAGTTTCGTAAGAATATACTTATAATAGGTTGGATCAAACTGCAAGAAAGTAGAAAAAAAACGGTCAAGACGTGCTAGTCCATCTCGTGCACGAACGGTTCCGTACCATTGTCTATAAAAACGGAAAAAACAAATTTCTGTTGTATGGGAGCAACACTTAAACATTTTTATTAAGTTTTTTTAGTACATTTCGTTATAGCGGCAATAGAAAGAGATCATCTGTGAAAAGTTCAACTACCTAATTATCACGGTTCATGACATATATAGCCTGGTAATAGACAGACAGATAGATTGCGGAGTCTTAGTAATAGAATCCCATTTTACTGTTTAGGTACGGAACCCTAAAAAAGTTCAGCATCGTGGAAAATGAATAATGGAGGCAGTATAAGTATTAAATAAGCAAGGAAATGAAAAGTAGGAAAGGAAAAGCTGCTACATAACTAACCGGTAATCTAAAATCACCAACAAGACATATATTGAGTGTAATGAGTACGCAAAGTAATAATTTTACAAAATTTTTATCCATAAGGAAAGTACAACACCAAACTGACACTGGGGATTAAATGTACAAGACTCGCTAAAGTTTTAATGAAAGTGCTTGTAAATTCCGTGTTTAAATGCCCACTTTCTTCTCCAAATTGAAAACTATGTGCTTGTGGAGTTTCTTCAATTGCTTAGAACTTTCCATTTGCAATTGAATGTACCTGGTATTAGATAAGATAACCTTACAAATGTAATGCGCTTTCGAAGCGTAGTACGCCTTAACAAATCTTCAACCAACTTTGTTTCAACTAGCTTTGCCAGAACTACGTTTTTACATCGCTTCGAGCTTAGTATCCGTGTCAGTTTAATCCTCAAAAATGTTTTTAAGATGGATGATAATGGATATGATAACCACGAATGCCGTGGTTATCATAACAAGTTTTTATCTAGCTTTTCCTATGGTGCATTTATCATTACAGTTTCCAATTCGCTCGGAAACTTATAAAGTTAAGGAATTAGCAGACTTTAGACAAAACTTACAGTAAGAAATAAGTTTAACCTCTTTTTAATTGCTATATCCGAACTTTGAAATCAAATGCAAAACACTCTTACGTTGATTTAACCTTTTTTCAAACTATTTATTCAAACAAGGAAATTCTGCTGGAAATTTTATTTAATCACACGAGATGTAATTTCAAATAGCTGAGAATTGAATATTTGTTAAGATACAGTAACAATTTGAAGCAACTTACTAAAACATAGATTCTTACACTAAGTATATCTAAAATGACACCCGCGATTTGGAAAACAAACCTTTGGCCTTCATGGCCAGTCTTCGATAGCAGCTTGAACGAACATATCAATATCGGCGGCTGATTTGATCAAGGAAGCCTGAAGTGACTCCAAATTAGGGTGAGGCTTTGAGCATATCTTTTCTTCCAAGTGTTGCCATATTTTATAATCCAACGGATTTATGTCTGAAATGAGGAGGGCCAGTCTTCGTGTCGAATGAAGTCATTTCACGCCACCAGCCAGTTTTAGGTGCATTTCGGTCTATGATCTGGCGCAAAATCTCACGATACCATTGTTTGTTATTGAACATAAGTGAACAAGACTCTTGTTCTCCACTTGTAAGTCCCCTGGGTGCTGCTAATTTTATACTTAAATACCATTGTGTACTGACATAATTATACAAAAGAATGGCGGTTGCCGGTTCTTCTCTGGTCAGGTCTAGTTTAATAAACCGATGGTATTTTTTGACTTTCAATAAGAGCGTAAATTAAACCTATATTGAACAAGGAAATTTTGACTTTGACTTTGACTTAGAACGCCCAAAAAAGTATTACTATCACACCCTAAATGAGCCTTTACTAATAATAGGATGATAGAAGATAGGTTATTTGATTAATGACAGGCTAAACGTCACAAGAACTAATGATGGCTAGGTCACATGATCGATGTCGTCATTGATTTGATATTGGTCAATTGTACAACAGTAAAGCAATTACTAATTTAAACGATAGAAGTGTTTTAAACGATAGAGAAACCGTAAGGTGGTAGTAACTTTACGGCTTATTTCGGTAACATGTACCATCCAGTTCACCTTGAACAATAAGATTCGTTATGCACACCTAGATTTTTAACCACATTTGTAAAAGCTATTATTATATTATTGCAACGTATTGAAGTTACAAGTATATAGTCAATTTCTGCCAGAATTTTCGAACTACCGTCAAGTATAGCTTAGCATTTCGTGGGATTGACCGAAACTTCACGAGAATTTGATCAAATTGACAACTTGAGCAATTTAATGCTTGAATGTCATTTTCACGGAACAAGAGTGTACATTATTTATTCTAAAAAGTGATGAAAAATTTTATTCATTATGTGATTATAATTTAAATCTAGCACTATAGTTTAGCACTAGCCTTAATGATAGGCTAGTGTTATATTCACTGCATTATGCATAGTACTCACAAACCCAGCTGAATTTGAATACGATATGCATGTCTGTATTGTTGGAAGAACATCGGCGCCGTGGAAGTTTATAGCCACAAAGATTTCTCGGAAGCGCAATAACAAGTACCTTTAGTGCTAGTTTCAGTTATGGCATTTATGTGCATACAGTTATAAAGCCCTAGTGGAAAGATTGGAAGCGAGCTGTGCCTTTTAGTTATGCCTCATACATAGAGCTGAGAAAGCCGGATAATACAACAATGAAACATCGTTAATCTGTTACTATTACGAATAGGAAATGCCACTGTGAACAAACCTTATTTCATGAAAAGAAAGAATTGAATGAAGTTTGAATCTGTGTTGTTAAAGCGTCTGGGCGCAAATCCGGAAGACGTTGGTTCGATTCCCGCAGCAGCGAAAAACTTTTCGTGCTTTTTTCTACAAATTTGAATAATTATGTTATATAATGTTCACCTACCGCAGGTAATGCCTTTGCAAGATTACTTTCTTAAAGCTGATACGAGTAGTTTCAAAGATATGTTCTTCGAAGAAGAATTCTAAGGCCATCTTTTGAAACCTCTGTGTTTTACATGTTTTTTTTTTCTATTTTAGAAGGTGGCAAATATATGACAAATGAGCTGATGATTCACCTGATTTTTGGTGACAACCACTGCCCATTGACATTTACAAAACCTGTGGAGGGTAGCAGATGCGTCGCTACCTTTTAATAAAGTGGACCCCGGCTACCTTGCTCACCAGACGAAACGCAGAAATGTTACATTTCCACTTCACACTGGATGTCTGTGAGGTCGTGATACTTACCCGCACAGGCCTGCCCGTTCATGCAACAGCGAAGAATATTGCGTGGCACACTTAATACTATCGCTAGCTGCAATCTACCATCTCGATAAGTACGCATTTCTTTGATTGTTACATTAATATAGTAATTATTGATCCGTCAGTCTTTGCATAGTATGTAATTAAATAATCTCCAAATGGGGTATTGCTTTGTATTAAATATATTATATATATTATAATTCCTTGGTTTTAAAGATAACTATTAAATAAAGGGTTTTTTTAAAGAACGAACCATCTGTAACAAAAAACTAAAAAGTAGGAATGTTTTATTATTATGTTACGCTTACTTAGCATTCCATTTATCATGCATAAAGCGCCAAATACATTAAAGTAAAAGCACTTTAAAGGCCTAAACTAATAAAATGGTTTGCTTATGAAGCCATTTTCTGACAAACCCTTTGAGAACATACAGTAATCTCTAAATGGGAAAAGTGGGATGGAAAGATTTATGATAACTACAGTATTTCTAAGTAGTTTTAAACCTGCCTACAGATTAGTTGGCTTGTGTTGTGTATAATCTAATTTTCAAAAAAATTACACATAATTTTTGGCATGAGTAAATTAATGATTTTTGAAAAGGGGTTTTAATCTTTTGAATATTTTATTACTCAGTTACAAAGTGACCGTGATATTTAAAAAAAAAAATCAATTGAGTGAGGCTGTTTTTTAAGGTGTTTCCTTTTGTATCAGTTTTTAGCCCGCATTCTGAAAGTTATTCGTCGACATTATAAAGCATTTTGACATGGTAGATAAAGTAATGAAAGCTGGAAAAATTCTAGATCGGCTCCATCAAAAGAATAACTGATTTTGAAAGAAAGCCATGTACTGTGAACCACGAGATTAACCATCGGACGCATGTAGAACCCAGAAACAACTCGAAGATGTTAAAAAATCCGACGTTAGCGAGTCCTTCGAAGACAAGGATTGCGCTGAGCATTAGCGAGTTAAATGTGGGTACCACCCGACAAATTTCATCGTTTGTACCGCTTACTAGATGGGGCCGTAATAACGACTATCGCCATCGTAAGTAACGAATGACTATTATTCTCTGAATCATCATCAGAGTAAAGTAAAAGTAGAGGTGAGAGTTAACTTGTGAGTTTTATTCGAAACACCGCAACTGTTCAGCAAATATTGAAGGCAAATAGCTTTATGTGCCCTTTTTCTCTGCAAAATTCACAGTTTTATTACTTTTAACGGCGCGCCCTCTGCATGCTTACCACACTGCCGACAGGTGGTGCGGCCGGAAGGCCAGCGCCTGCCACACCGAACACCTGTCTGCAACGCGGCGCTCACCCGGTGCAAACTATTTCCCATGAGCCGCCAGCCACTTGCAACTCCAGTGGCACCTCGCACACCACATGCCGCTCAACCACCTCTAGTGCCAGTTCCAGCGCCAAAGAGTGCGTGTAGTCCATGTATCTCTCCACAAACAAATTCAACATCAAAATATCTTTATTCAAATAGACGCTTGCGCGTTCGTGTGAAACGTCGAATTTTACAAAATATACATAAGTTCAATCATTTAAGTTCATCAATTAAGTGAGTAAGGTTTGAAAATCGCAGATTATTACCGAAAGCAAAAGTCCCAAGAAATAGATAAATTGTTAGTACTTTAATTGGTTACCACGTCTTTTTAAATTATGAGAAATTAAGGCTGCATCTTATTTGTGCCATAAAAGCTTTAAAAAATTTCCCGACATAAAAATAGGTCAGAAAAATATTTAATTTACGCCAGAATATAATATGCATGAACACTTTGTGCGCCAAAAAAGCTTGAATTCTGGTTTGAATTGAGTTAACGGTTGACAATCACTGCGCAATATACATTTTATAATTACTGCCCGTTGCCAGAATAATTCTTTCCAAAGTTATTAACGATTGTAATAAATAAAATGTAATATATAATAATAAAATTAAACGAAATTATATGACTGTTGATACTAAAACAATAAATCAGCTATCGAGTTTTGAGGCATAATCTGAAAATGTTATTTAATTTGTGAAATGGAACAAGTGATAGAAGAAATGCAAGAAATACAATATTGGCAATAATAAACAGGAATATTAGGTCTCAAATTTAAAAGTTGTAGAAAAGTTCACGAAAAGCTTTTCGCCACTGCGAGGATTACATCCTTTGTCCTCTAAATTACTCACGTTTTATACTTTGAGCTAAACGGTATACCTTTAAACTGAGGAAAATATCCACGTATTTAAAAATACAATAAACAAAAGTGAACAAATTAGTCCTCAACCTGTTCCCCGCATGCAGAAAGGCAAGCATCCAAAGGATGCTAAATTAGCCTACCCGAACCAGTTCATGTTCCTCTTAACATCACCGTGGAGGACAAAATCACCAGTAAGCCCCTCGGCTTGACTGGCTAGACAGGAACTTTTTAGTGCGGACACAAGATCTACCTGATACGTACTCTTTTTTTATATGAGCAAGTGGCAAACGAGCTGGCGGTTCACCTGATGCTTAGTGATTACCGCCCGCCAATGGATATTTGCAACACCCGTAGGGTTGCCACTTCTTAACAAAGTGGGCCCCAGCTACCTTATTCAGAACGAAACGCAGAATTGCAACACTTCTACTTCACGCCGGTCTTCTGTGAGGTCGTGCTACTAACCCGGACGGAACTGCCCATTTGTGAAGCAGCGAACACTGTTGCGTGGCCCCGCCACCGTAACCACTGCTTTGCGGTTACTGCGACGGGTGGGTTAGATACCGGTTTTCTAACAAGATTGTTTTTCCGCGATAAGGGTTGAGTTTTCTTCTTCTACTTATTGTTGCGGTCGTATTCAAAAAAAGTAATGAAAAAATGTCCCTGATGATAAGTCAAAATGGGTAACTGCTTCACTGCAGTCATAAAATCGGGTTACACTCGGACATGACAGCGAATGGTAGGAACAAAATACTCTAGGTAGGAACCCTATAAAAAGTTGATGTCCCACTTTTAAAAAAAGGCAAGATATTATGTGATAAAATTATTAGTTCGTTGTAAGTAATCATGTTGGTAAGTCAATTTTTATGTTATGTTTTAGAGACGTCATCTAACAAGAGTAAATTCTCTAAGGGTGTAGGTAGTAAGTTAACTAAAGCTACGCTCCTCACTTCCTCCTCTTCACATCAAGAAACAAAACCTATGCGAACATAAGTTATACGAATCGAAACTTCGCCGATCCAACGTCTGAAAAGTTTCAATTCGAAAACATTCGAAGCGATAAACTGCTAAAGATTTTACGTTCCCAATAGACACGTTAAACAAGAAATATTACTACTCTATAAATTAATATTACTACTGTACTACTCGATTCGGGCTTCTACGGAAGGCGCTAATAAAATGCACTTTGAAATTTACCAGGCTTAAACTATGAGAATAATCGTCGGTCAGTAAAGAGAAGGTATTATTATATACATTTCCAAGATATCATAATTTCTTTTCTTGATAGTGTAAAAATATCTACATGCATCTGCTAAGAACACACTTGGAACTGAACTGAAACACTCTGTGGTAGGGCCACGCAGCAGCCTAGGCTGTTGCACGAATGGGCAGGCCCGTCCGGGTAAGTACCACGACCTCACAGAAGACCAGCGTAAAGTGGAAGTATGACAAATACTTTCGCGTTTCGTATGGTGAGTGAGGTAGTCGGTATTATCAAAAGGTTGTCAACGCATCTGTAACTCTCGGGTGTACAAGCAGATGTCCATGGGCGGCGGTATTCACTTAACATCAGGTGAACCGTCTGCTCGTTTGGCAACTTTTCACATAAAAAAAAAACTGTACTCTGTGTCCAATAAAGATATGATATGTATATTCACAGCCTCAATGCGTCCCGGGCGAGTGATGCATTTTATACACTTTTATAGTATACTATTAAGTAGTAGTATAACTTTAATTACTCTCCCACTAAAACTCATATACGGATTTTGAAGAATTTTAACAATAATATGGCAATAACACTCAAGTCATAACTTAAAAAAAAGTTTGTTAATCATGCAGTCTACGCGGGAGAAGCCTCCAGCGAGTCTAGTTGATATTAAAAAAAATACTTTTTATTTAATTTATTTCAGGATCTAATTCATTAAAAAAATATTAATGCGTCCATCATCCACCTTTTTACCGACTCTTCCACGCTTAAGGCATCTGCGAAAATGAATGTACTATAATCATACATATTATATCTTCATAAAACATTTATTTCGACTTCCTTTAAATAACGTTTTATTTAAAGGGAAGTCGGGCAATACTTGAGTTGCGGAGCGATTGTGTCGTTACACATTGCCTGTTATTCTAATCATTCAATAGATAAAGTTTCGTTATACCTATTGAAGCTGTATAATGAGGTTTATAACAAAATATTTTAGTGCTATCTCAAATTGCGATTATAATATATAAAAATTTGTGGTATTGCCGTATAAGTTAAAATAGGGCAGAAAATGCAGGATTTCGTGTCCTTTCGCTATAAGTAAGTAAAAAGGAATAGCTGCTATCTCACTGAACTTACTATGGATCAAAGTACATGGTAAATCTGACGCCGCTCATCGGCTTCGATTGAAAGCCATTATAACTCTAGTGCTTTCAAATTAGATAACGTTGCGCAATAACAAAGAGGTCTTTATGCTTTTGTCTCTTATGTCTTACAAGCTGTTAACCGCTAAAGGGAATTAACAATAGTTTTTTATTTTACACCAGAACATGTCGCAGATGGCTGAATTTATTCCTACTTAGTTGACACTTATCATTTCTATATCTATATTTTGGACAATTCACACAATATCTTTATAAATTAGCTTATATTTATATGAAAGTGTAACAAACATCCATCCATACATACAAACTTTCGCTAAAAAAAAGATTACGCTAAATTAAGAAATAAGAAGCTACGACAAAGTTATATCCATACCTGTGTGTGCATCTGTATAACCCGTTCATCGTTCAAACGAATATTTAATTACACGGTGACTAGAATGTTGTCGTTTTAATCATTACTCATTACGCCTTATTCACGATACGATTCATTTATTTTCACCGATGCAGAATGCTGAGGATTTAAAATAATTATATGCTATGCAGCCAAAATATTATTGCAGCAATTTCGGTAAATTCCATTGTGATATTTATCTCTTGCACCAGACGCGAGAAATTCTGAGTTATTATTAATGGTTTTGCCTTCCTCACCGTACATTCTATTAATTATCTGAAATTCCTTAAGCACTTTTGTTACTTTTATTTCCACAACAATCATTTCTGTAAGAATATTTTATGTCAATTTTTTTAAGCGAAAACTTAATAAAAAGCATTTTTTCTCTTTGGAAATGTTCCTAATTTTTTGTAGTATCTAAAATTTATGACTAGTACTACACATTCACTTCTACATTTGTGACGGCCTCCTCGTTGTAACACAAGTCCTTCACTTATTCCTTTTCTTCACTTTCTTTTTCCTTCCACTTTGGGTTCCACCACTGAATTGCCGCCTGACTTTTCCTTTTAATGGGTCATCCGCTGTTGGCCTTGATGAGACCGCTAAAGGCAACTAGCCTGAACCTCGGCTTGGTTTAAGGTTGAATAAGATCGAGTGTTACCAAGGGAGCCTCTGCTCGGGCCGTCACTCTATTACATGGTGTAACTAGGCTCAAGAGCCCCAGAGACGGGTGGCTCTTCAATGCTTAGTAGGTTCCTTGATGACTGTTTAGTTTCGATGGTGCCCGAGAGGGCCGGACCTAGGCTCGATTGGTAGCTGTTATCTAGCGTGGAGAACTTCTATAGCTATCGTTACTTCGGAAAGCCTTGGCATTTGAAGAAGAAGTGGTGGAAGAAATTCGAGCACCGCTTCTATCATTAACTGGGGTGATGCACCGGACCCCTTTTATATGCTGAATTGCGATCGGCACTATTTTTAAAATAAAAAGAACAATCTATTGATTCGAAATTCTAAATTATCTAAAGAACTCGGCATTCGATGGTGACTGCCAATACAATGTACGTTTTACGTTAAAACATGTTATAAAATGAGCTATTTTTTATAAAAATTAATTACCTAAAATAACCTTGATAAAGTGATCCAGTAAAAATCCCTGTTCACTCAATACACATTACTTTGCCCGTTCAAGGCCCAGATGCCACTATCGATCTTGCCTCCCCTCTGTCATTGCCTCTTGCGACAATCCGGTTTTATAATCAATCAAACGTCAATGCGTCTAATCAGAGCTGATGGAGCATAAACTTGCTAAATTATGTACAGTTAAATAGTTTGGTTGAATATTTCTGAGGAAAAATAATCTGATAACCGGGGAAAAATTATCTCTTTGTCACAAGTCTGTAATAAAAAAGGGGTCAAACAAGAAATACCGAAAAAGGGCTGTAATACCGTAATAGGAAAGGACCTTACGGTTACAATATCGTACAATAAATTG